TTTTTTTTTTTTTTTTTTTTTTTTTTTTTTTTTTTTCTCGTACAAAACAATATTGTCATTATTTCTCAATCAATGAGGTGCGTTTTATCGCTGATTAATCGGTTTCAAAATGTGGACCATCGCTCGGGTACCTTTATTTTTCAAATGCACCTTGTAAGGGTGCACCCAAGAACGCCCGATGAAAAACGAGTCATTTATATCTAAAACTAAAAATGTACATGTCACATTCACCGGCTAATAATGAATGAGATTTCGATTAGGAAATTAGTGTTATCCTACTCAAAATAACAAAGAATATATCCATTTTGGGCAGGGGACTGGGGGAGAGGCGAAGATTAAGATAGAAAGAAGATGAACTCTACATTAAATGGTAGTTTCCTTGATGGTGCATGGAACTATAAGGATAGCTAGGCATGGGTAACGGATCACTGAATGGATTAGAAGAACCCATCATTGGCATTTGTTGAGGGTATTGATTCTGTGGATACTGGTAAGGGACCATCATGTTATATTGTTGTTGTTGGAACATCATTTGTTGTTGTTGTTGTTGCTGCTGAGTCATGAATGTCATTTGCACATTGGGTGGAGGTGCTATGTTGTTGGACATTGCAAATGGATCATGCTGATTATGATGTTCGAATGGATTATGTGTATCCATTTTCCCATATCCATAGCCTGCATTTCGGAGTTGGAGTTGTCTCCTCGCATTTTCATCTTCGTACAAACTGTCTAGTAATAACTTGTCAAATCCACCGGCCTATCTCAACAAAAGAGGACAAAAAAAAACAATAACGTTGTTATCTTTTAGATTTAAAGGACAAACCATAGCCTCATTTATGAGATTGTAAGCAGTAGATACATGTAATTTGTAGGCATTTTCATATTGACCTCTCCTGTTATTGACGTGTGTGAAATTGTATCTATAGCATAAATATGCAAGTTGACATATTCATACTGGTTGTAGTGTGTGTAAATAACATATATTGGTTAGCATGTCTCTCTTATAACAGATGAGCTTCAAACTAAGCATGACAAGCAAGTAAAATCTAACCATTTTGCGATCTATCGCTTGGCTTGTATGGTTACTTGGTGTTGTAACCAGTGCTAGTTCCCAACCAGAAGTTCCGCTCATGTCAGCCAAAGCAATATTGCTCGAGTTATTTCCTACACAAAATTGCAAGTTTAGAATGAATCAAGTATGAAACAACAAGGATGGTTAGCCAAATGATTGGGCATGATTGAGGTTTAAAAAGGAGTTAATTGATACAAGTTCATTTGGATCAAGTCCTGGTAATATTATATGGGATAATGTGAGCAAGGATGGGAAATGACACATGTATCCTTATGAATTTTTAATAAAATTATCTGTGTGAAATAAGTGCTAGTGACAAGTTTTCTTCACCAGTTTATATTTGGGAATTCAATGTATAATTTTTTAAATTGTGATTCTTTGAACCTCTGGAAGACTATCTCGATGAGGAATATCTTATTGAAGCAAATTGCAATCACCATTCTCTAGAAAAGCATGCACTATAAATGTGTCTTAAATATTACTCAAGGCCTTACCGCTGGCTGGTACAATTGCAAGAGCCAAAGCATTGTTTTCTTCTAGTTCCAGAGCTTTTGGATTTATTTCATGTAGACCCTGAAAAAGTTGACCAATATATTGTACATTTAGTCAAACCAACATATCAAACAAAACATGCATACCATTATCACAACCAAAAACTCACCAACAAATCATCAATAGTATCAGTTGATATAAGAGGAGGAAGTTCAGCTTCCTCTTCCTTAGGTTGTGTTTCTTCTTTATCTTCACGTTCTTCCTCATTGACTTCTTCATCTAGTTTGTTATTTGCTTCGGCTTCTGCCTTCTCTTCAGATTCTTTGGGTTTCGTTTCTTCTTTTTGAGCTGATTGGTCATCTTTGTGATACTCCTGATGTTGCATGACATTTATCAACGAATCATCGCATACAAATACCAAATTATAAAAATCACACCATTTTGAGAAAATCCAAGTCAATGTACTATGTAAAACGGTTCGGTTAAGTAAATTTATTTTTACAAAAAAAAATTTACTTCAGTTTGATTCAAATTTTTTTTAAAAAACTATAAAAATATAAAGTGAATAATCAAATTCATCCATTTAAAAAAATACGATCAATTTTTTTGAAAAAAATCTAGTCAATCCACTTTATCAAATAAGGTTTAGTTAACCAAACTAATTTTATAAAATAGATGGATTTGGTAAATAATTCAAATCATGAACAACCCAAATATCACTTTTTCATACCAATCTCTTAGTAGCAGTAAGGGGTGCTTCTTTAATGTATTCTTTCATTGTGGCAAGAAAAGAAGCAGGTGGCTGTTTATTGCAGGAAAGATCTTAGTGAGAAACTGTATATGATATCAAAATAAATATTGTTATTATAGTGAGCAAGAAATAACATGTTTCAAGGTAGGAAATTGAAAATTCCTAGCAAGGTCCAATCGCTTGCAGTATTCATAGAAGTCAGCAAGATATTCGGCCTGCACAGTAAGAATGATAGTGAATTCAACAAGTATGATCCTTTCGGAAATCATCATTAAGCAAAAGAATCAATTCAAATTGGACAACAAAAGGAATGAGTATGAAGGAAAGCATCATCATAAACCTGTTGGCCAGCTCTTTTATAGATCTGTAACGCCTTCATTGCATCATATTTTGTCATATCAAAGAACTGCAACTTTCATTAGTTAGTACAAATTGAAGTTCAAGTGGAGTATTAATCAAAATAACATGTTAAACTGAGATAGAAGTTAAGTTACCCCATCCACAAGATTTATGATTCCGTCATTCAAGGCACAATATATTTTGAAGCTCTCTTTCAATACCTGAATGATATTCCCAGAAGCGGAAAAATAAAGTTAGAGAAATAATACAATGCTCAGTAAATGGAATCCTAGAAGAGAACAAAGTCAAAATGTTTTTTTTTTTTTTTTTATAATTATTATTTTAGTTAGGAGAGTAGATTTTAACAAATCTGTAATTTTTCATTCACATGCAAATAATACTAACTTTAATTTTTTCACCAATTGAAATTTCTCTCTAAAATGAGAGTTTATTTTAAAGAAGTCATTTTTTAATGAAAGAAAAACACAAGATAAGGATGAATTAGGCAAAACAATTTTGCATCATAGGAAATAAATTCATTAGTGTAGCAATTCGACAAATCTAATTTACTAAGTTACTGTATTCTTCAACTTGGAGTGCAGAAGCCATTGCTTTAATGAATACCATTGTTATCAATAGCAAAAATTATATGGACTATCGTAAAATCTAAAGCTGTTTGATTTGCATATATCATTTCACAAGGATATGATTTTCACGAGGATATGGTATCCACAATTATGACATGAACAGGTTACTCTTATTTCTTTTTTTGAAAAAATGTTTTACAAATTTTATTCAGTCCTACAATTGATAAAAAAACATATTATGTTAGTGCTTCAAAGTGCTATATATTATGTGACAAGTACAAATTAAATAAGCATACCAAGGCCAGTGCATACTGTATTAGATAATTGTTGAAAGCCAATCCATCAGGCTGCAAGATATTAAAGCAAATGAAATGTTATCTAAGGGAATAAAAAAATGAAGTCATTTCAATGACAATAGATACGACATAATAACAGATTAGGAGTATAATAATGACAATAAATACAAGAATAAAAGAGTTTTTAAGAATTATTTTAAAAAAAGTTTTTCTAAATACAAAAAGCTTTTTAAAGTACTTTTTTTTATCCAAACATACCCACTACTATATTTAACATCTTTAGTAATATTTGTCTACTTATATTTATTAAAATGTTATTAATAAATTAAGGTAATACGTTATTGCAACATTTTTTTAAGAAAATATTATAAATAGAGTAACATTTTCTTATTTCAATATTATTTTTTTGTAATTGTTTTCCAAAATTAAATCTTACATTGAATAAAATATTGACTCATAAAAGAATATACCTTTTCAATCTCTAATTATTTTTTAAAATTAAAGTTTTTCATCGAATAAAAAGATGACAAATAAAAAGTATATATAATCATAAGATGAAACTTAAAATAAATAAACTTTTATATGTAATATAGATTTGGAAGTGATTAACTTATGATGTCTTTAACTTTAAAGGATTTGTAAATAGGGACATAAAGTATAAGTTGTAATACAATCTAAATTAAAATTAATTAGCATTTTATAAAGTTTAATTTGCAAAACTTTAGCAACATTTTTAAAATGTTACAAAAATATCACTTTAATAACATTTTAAAATATTGTCATTAATATGTTAAAATATTACTAAAAATATGTAGTTACATAGATTTTATCTTACATTTGATATAATGTCATAAAAGTATATTAATAATATTTATTCATAATTTGACATTTTTTTTAATATTACTAAAAACAAATTTTATTGTGGTCACTCTAGAGCATGTAAATACCAAATCTAATTTTTTTCCATAAATTCTTACCTGACAACCAACAAGGCGGTATAGAAGTTGTTGAAGTGTAGGCAACTGCTCTAAAAGCTCTTCACTTGTCAAAGTTCGTGTTTTGCTATGTAACTATCAAAGCTCAAAGTTACTAATTTTCCAAAAGTATTAATAAAAAGTTGCATGGAACAATTAATGTATGAATAAAATTAAAAGGAAAAGCACACACCTGAGATAAAGCCTTGGCCGATCCCAATTTTATTAAACGTTCACCCTCAATATCATATTTAAGGACTCTGTAACATTCAAGCCTTTCTTCTAAAAATAATGCATAAGTTCGAACCCATGCAGAACAATCCCATGCTGCATAAAGAAATCTAATTTAGATAACCAAAAAGTCTAAGTCATTCTATATATATATATATATGATAGAGTTGAACAACAAATAATCTGTGGAACTAATCTACCTAAAGGGCTTGAGTTATCTTTGAAATTGGATATTTGAAGAAAACGTCCCTTGCGCGCATAGTTTATAAGGTCTTCTTTGAAAGTAGGATCACCTTCTCTCAATATCCTATGAATGACAATTAATGTCTTTATAGCAACCTGTCATGTAGCAGGACATTATTTAGTTAAAAACAACATCTGAAAATTTGTCTTTATTAAGCAAAATTGTGGGCAAATCCTAATCCCTATCTCTTTATGGATGATAGAGTGAAGCTAAGCATTATTTATCCCCAGAATGTTCCTTTCCACAAGGGATGTACACAGGACATTTCATATCTGTCTTAGAGCCACAATTTGTAGTTTTATATTTCATATTTAAGAGGTAAATTCCCCCTTTATTATTAGAAATATAATATAAAAACCATTCACATGTTTTCACTAAACAACTTTAAGCTTTTAGGGTAGTTGAATATTCATGACAATTATGTCATTCCCATTCCTTTCTATGCTGAATTTTGTTTATTTTCAAGAAGAAAGTAAGCATAACAACATCTTTACCAAACACTGTTCAGAAACATAATATTTTACCATATGTTAAATGAATAAGAAAAAAATATAGAAAGAGCTCAGATTATTTAGCTTGTTAGTGTGCATTGAAACAAGTATTAAGAGGACTTACTATCCAATTCCGAGTCTTTAAAAGCCTCTTGGCAAGTGTATGTATGCAGTAAGCCACATCTGCCCTTGGTTGGTGTACTGAAGTTGCATAGAATATTTCTACAACCAAGAGCAAAGAGACAAGTTATCAATATCACCCCAATTTCACATGCATTATTGTATTGGGAATGATCTCATTTCCATTTTTTTTTCAATGCAAGCATTGAGATCGATTGAATTAAACCAAACATAACAGATTGAAAATTAATGAAACAAATTTCACGATGAAAAAAAGCATCATATTGAACAAAATTTGAGGACTCACTTCGAACATGACGTTCCTTAGGAGGATACTCTACGTGACTGGTAGCCTTGACAATTGCAATATCCAAATCCTTAAAAGAAAAAAAAGGAACAACATGAAAAGATATAATAGAAAATAGGTTGATACATCAAACATGCATGAAAATAGAATAACGTAGGAGCGTACGTACCTTGTATTCGCTATTGACCTTGGCTAGGCCAACCGTGGTGGAGTCTTTGAGAGCACCGTAAGCCTTCCTTAAGGTGTGGAACGTTCCCATTCACCAAATTATTGAATTTGATGGAAAGAGAGAAAGAAGAAAGAACAATGGTGATGTTCTTCTTCTTCTTCTTCTTTGTCTCACTCTCTCATTCTCCAACAACAAAAAGAGGGAACCAACGACCCAAGGGTATTTTCGTATTTTCATCTTTTGAGATTTAACTAATATTTGACCACGGTTTCAATAAAACAGAAAAATGCGGGTTCCGTTTTGTTTTGCATGAAAATGAAAATACCACAATTGATGTTCATATTTCATCGTGTTTACACGTGAGATCCAACTACGCCTTCGTTGTCTCATCATGGTTCGTTAAATTATTAATTTTTATTTTCTCAACAAAAAAAAAATTAGTGCTCCTTTTGGTTGTTTAAAAATAGTTTTTTCAAGAATGTTATGTTAACTTTATAATTACATCTAGAGTTTGGTTGAGGAAGTGCGTGGGTTATCATACATTATTTGATATCAAGTTGGTAAAGGAATAATTACATTTGGAGTTTAATTTCTACAATAATTTTATATCTTCAAATTAATTCTTTCACAAATCCTCGTGTTACCTTACAAAAAAAATTATAAAAGAATTTCATGTCTTGAAAAAAAATGAAACATATTCAATATTTATGGTACAAAAGAAATAAGAAGATTAATAGAAGAAAGCCGTAAAAGCATTTAGAATTATTTCAGTTTTTATTTATTGTCAAATGTCAATATAAAATGTTTACATTATTAATCAATTACAAAATATTATTAGAATTACTTTTAATGTGGTTATTATAAAAACTAATAAATTTTTATATATTTAAATTATTGAGTGAGTGTATAGAGTATTTACTTTTATATTTAATTATCTCCATTTATAGGACTAGCCTTTCAATTTGTTTTGGATTAAAGTTTGGCTTTGGTAGCATGCTCCATTTTTATTTTTATTTTTATCTTATGACAAAATGTATTTATTGAATTAAAAATTTGGGATGGGTATTATGTCTCGGCCCAATGGATTGAAAGTCCATATTAAGTAGCGTAAAGCAAATTTAGATTAAAAAAAAAAAAAAACAGAATTCTGACATTTAAAATAAAAAGTGGGGTCAGTAGAAGAAGGTTGAAGCCAAGGGCATCACATGTAACTGTAAACATACACATATAACATATTAAACTAATATCTTTTCATATTTTTAACAACACATTTGAGATCATTAGATCTTCAACAAAAAACTTTACATGTTTCGCGGTAAGTTGTACTTTACTTCTTTTTTTAAATAAATAAATAAATATAATATATATATATATATATCTTAACTTTCTTTCCACAACTTAAATTGAAACGTTATTAGAAGATTACCATACATGCATAATGTAGCATATTAACTATTACCTCAAGTTATTATTATAAGATTTAAATAATTAATTTACTGAAAATTTTGTTTTTTTAGTTAAATCAATTAATATATCTTAAATATATATTTCCTTTCAAAACTAATGAGGCATATTTCAAAGTTTATGCCTTTCAAAAATAAAAAATAAGATTATTTATATTTTCAGAGACATAAACTTAATGTAGTATTGTACTTATTTATTGAACTAAAAAAATACATTTGATAAGGATGCTACTTTTTGTAAAGAAAAAATTAATACCTGAAGCATAATAGATTAAGTTGTACCAAAAAAAAATCAAACTAATTTAAAAATAAGTTAATACATCATGAGTCTTTGAATTTTTTTTTTAAATTTTCAATTACGTTCTTAAATTTAAAAAATACAATTAAGTCTTTTATATTTCATGTTTTTGTTATTTATTTATTGTAATTAGAAATTTATTTATAATTTGTAAAATTTCATAAAATTTATTTAATATTTGGATACTTTGACAATCACATTAGATTAGTATTTTATTTCTAATTTATATTTATTAGGAATATTTTATGAAATACCATGGATTTGTAAATAAATTTCTAATTTTAAGAATTAAATTGAAAATAAAAAGATAGAAGATTTAATTATACTTTTTAATTTAAAAATTTAATTAAAAGATTCTTTAAAAATTTAAACACAAAATAATATATTAAATATAAGATTTAGGTTCTATAATAACGAGTGATTGAATTTATAAAACCAAATATCCACGAAAAATGAATAAAGTCAGATTAAAAATAATAATAATATTCTCGTGTGTTATCTCCATTGTTGATTCGATAATTCAATAATCAGGCCTCCAAACTCCTCTGCAATGACTGTTTCCGAATCATGATTCAAGTTAAACATGTCAATGAAAAAAAAATCATTCTCTTCTCATTATTTTCTTGTACTTTTTGATATTTATATTTGATCTGATGTACATTGAAATTTTTCAAAATTTTATAGGATGCCAGATCCTTATTCTTAAAGCACCATCGATTAAAACATTATCCATATGGCTTCATTTTTTTTTTCATCATACAAAAGTTAGATTATTAGGGTAGTTGTGGCAAAAGAATTCAGTTTATTCACACTAATGGGGTCGAAGTACTTCATGTCTCTATTAAAATAAAAAATAATAATAATAATAATAAAAGTATATTGATCTAATTAGTATTATGATTAATTCATTAGTTTTAAGTTATTAAATTTGATTAAAAAATATTTTTAAAAATTTTTTAGAATAAAAGGGTATAATAGTAAAAAAAAATGGAAACCAAGGTAGTTACTGAAAAAATTATTTTTTTATATATTAGTATAGATTATGCGAGAAAAAAGAGACTCTTTCTCTTAAATTTTTATAAAATAAAAAAGAGATAACGAAATATAGTGGTTATTAAAAAAATACATGAAAAATTATTTTTTTTTTTAAATATTTGATAGATATAATAGTGCACTGAAAACTTAAGACAAAAAAATAGTTATTCATATTGGTATTCATTTATAATAGGCTGGTATGGAAAAAGAGACAATTGTAACTTTTAAATTTTTAAAAAAATAAAAATAAAATAAAATAAAATAAGAGATAATAAAATAGATGATTGTGAATAGTTATTGAGAAAGAATATAAAAAATTATTATTTTTTTAATATTTTAAGAGATATAATAGTCTACTAAAAAATAAAAATAATTACACATATCAATATACAAATATTACTATTTCTTTGTAATAGATATAAATATGAATGTTGTATTCCATGTTTCAAGTTTCAAACACGTACGATTTCATTCAGTTTAGAATCACAACTGTTACACTTCATGCTGAAGATGATATATCTATATAACTAAACTTAGTGGAATTGAAGTATTATCCCAGCATCCAATTAAAAAAAAATTAGGTGACTTGAATTTCAAAGTTTATCAAAGACAAATCTCAAACTTCAAAGAACAATACTTACAGAGTATATACCACTTACCTACAAAGTTCTCACGTCCACGATCAGATTTGAACTCAATCTTTATCAACTGAACTACTCACCTCAGTTGCACATATTCTCTCCTCCTTAACCTTAATATTAGGCATGGCAACCGCGTAGTTGGAACGGGTTTTATGTTATCTGTCTCGTTCTGTAAATTTAAATTGCTTCTATCTCCGTTCTCAACATTTTTTGAGAATAAAATTTGAATACTCATTCTTATTTTTAACGAGATTTAGGTTTTTCCGCCCTATCACTATCCCTGATCCTAGCCCTTTTTCTTCTAATAAATATAGAAAATTTTTAAAAAAATAATAATATAAATTTTTATATATAAAAATTTTTAACTTTAATTTATATATATAAAGATAATTTTTTAATTATATTATTAAGCAAGAGTAGGAGCAGATATTAACATTTTAGTACTCGCTTCCGTTTTCAATTTTATTAATTAAAGAAAACCTGAAGTTAAATCTAATCAACACGATTTACGATTTTTCTTGTTTAGGGTTTAGCCAAATCATGCGAATATCACATGGCCGAATTAGAGTGACATATCTATTTAATATGTTCTATAATTAACAAGATTTTTTTTTTAAAATAAAAAAATTGACTTATAGCTACTTTTAAAATTGGCGTGAACGCGCATATATTTTAAAATTGATGACATATCCTATGCATCATCGGTAGACATGACATCTATGTAGTACAATTTGACCGTGTTTCCTATTTTTAAACATACTTTGTATTTTTAGATTGATAATGAAGAATGAATCATTATCATAGCTTAATAATAATATTTTATATAAATCAGGGTATAATTTTATTTTTAAAATAGATTTTATAAGAGATTAGATAGCAATAATAATATTATGGTGTTGGTTAATCAATATGTATTGTTGATATATTGTACCAACTATTATTGAATGAAATTACTGATTAGATTAAATACATAACATTGAACATAATTCTTAAATTATTTTATAGTTTATTATATCATTCTATTTTAATGTATAAAATGATAATCAAAATATATGAAAAAATAGTTAAATAACATATTTAGAGTTTAAATCATTTTAAATTTGACATGCATGATATGAGTGTAATCATAAAATATAATTATTGGATTAATATTAATTATCAAAAGAGTTTGTATCAAATATAATGGTTCAAAATTTATCCTACTTGATAAGAGGGAATTGTACCTCTTTACAAAAAAAAATTATATATCAATTAATTAAAATTTGATTGTTGACTAAATTAGTTATTGCTTCATATTAAATGAGATGAGATTAATTTACAAAATTGTGTTTTTTACACTTAATCTATCTATTAAACTCTTATAAAAAAAAGATAAAAAAAGATAAATATATAAGTGATATGATGTAATAGAAAAATAAGTAAAAAAAAAAGGAATTTGTTTTAATAAAATTATCTTTAAACACTTGTAGAAGTGAAAAATTACAAGGAAAAATGAAATAAATTTATTCATAAATTAAAATTAATTTAAATATAAGTTTAAGTGAATTTGTAGAATTTCTCTAATTTCTTTAAAATATTATTTTTAATTTATAAAAGATTATTTAAAAATGTTATAAAAAAAAACCTTTAAAGAAACTCATCCAAAGCAAGACATACTAAATTGAGCATTAGTAAGATATATAAGACGATCAGATGTCAAAATATCAATGCTCCTTAGTTTAATGCATTAAAAAAACATAGGGAGAAATGAAATAAAAGAAAAGGCTATTGAGAAAAATAAAAATGTTATTACCTAATCCTGTTTTAATTTTTGTATGATTAGGACTTACCAATTTGTAGGAAGCATAGGCATAGGCTGACAGTAAAATAAATAAGCAAAATGATTTTGTGGTAAGCTAAATTAAATGTATTCGGAGATCACATAAAGATTCATTCATTCTCCTTGTAGTTGTGTTGTATATAACCAAAGGAGCATTTTTGGTTCCTATGTTGCATTGACGAGTTGAGACACACACATTGGCCTAAAAACAATTCCCAACAGTGCCTATGATTCACCAAGGAATCTGATTTTCCCAAACACCAAACCAATCTTATTCCTTGTACGTTTCAGTTTCTGCCACAATTACTTGTTACTTGTAAAATAAAACCACAGAAAGAGAGAGAGAGAGAGAAAGAGATTGATAGAATGGGAATGGCAGCATAACAAGAAGCTGACCGTTGGTGGCGCTTGGGGTAGCTATTTGGCGGCGACAGGTTCCATCAACATTGGGAATCTCAGACCCAATTTCAAATTCAAACCAATCAACACTTCACTTTTTTAATCCTTCCAACTTTTGCACTCCCCCCATGTTCACACACCTTCAGGGCCTTACAAAGTTCTGATCTTTCACCTTATTCCTCTTTCGTTTCAGGTTGGTTTTCTTTCTCTTGCCTCAAAATCTTGTGGGGTTTCACATTTGGATTCAAAGTCAAGGTCTTTTTACTCATCGTGTTTTGGCCTATTTTGGTTTCTTTACAACTTGGGGTGTTTGGTCTATGTTCTTCTTCTGATCACAATTGTTTGTTTTCTAGATTTGAATAACTAATTATGACTTATTTGCGATTCTATAACGTTTGGAGTGATCAGGGTCTTAAACATCGTACCCTGACTTTTCTTCTTGTCTGTGTTTGTGTTTTGCTAAATTCTTCTTGTAATTCTTGATTCAATGTTCTTTCTGGTCTTTCTGTGAGTACTATCCTTGTAATGCTCACTGTTTGTTTGGCACTGTTCCATCCTGGCTTGATCTCGAGTATTTGATCAATTGTAGTGCTCAACTCATTATTTTACTTGATAGCATTTTTCTTCTTTGTATATTACGAAGGTTAATGAGTAATTATATTAGAACGAAGCAGCATTAATCTGTACTGTTATGTGTAATTTCTGTCCTATCGTTGTATACGAAATTCGTGGTTGTGTATGAATAGTTCAATCTAGATTATTAATTTACAAGTAATTTGAATGTCACTTTTTCCACTTTGTGCTGAATTTTCAGGATTGGCACATAACATATTGTTATGGGGGACAGTGAGAAGAAATTAAACAACAAAGGATCTAAAAAATCCAGTCATTTGAAGGCAGGTACGAAGTGCAAAGGGAAGAAGGATAAAGTGAAAGTAGTATCAAAATCTCACACAAAAAATGTTGGCACTGACATATCGAGGAAGAGAGTTACCGACTCTTCCTCCAAGGTCAAAGGGCCGCGTAAGGATTCTTCACATAAGAAATTGATTACTGGAAAAAATTTGCCTGCAAAAAACAGAAAATCTTCACAGAAGCCATCCTCAAAGTTACAAGGCAAAAAAACTTCTCTTAGCTCCAGAAAAGAGGGGAAAGATGCAGATGGGGTGGTAAAGCTTCAAAAAATGAAGAGAAAGAGAAAGAAGAAAAGGCAAAGGAATAATGTAGATCTTGATGATCCTTTGCGCTTTCAGAGGAGAACAAGGTATCTTTTAATCAAAATGAAACTAGAGCAGAACCTGATTGATGCTTACTCTGGAGAAGGTTGGAAAGGTCAGAGGTATGGGATAACTTATCCGATAGTTTTATTTTATTTTTTTCAAGTGTTAGGTGAATAAGATGCATATTTTTCCTTTTAGTTGATTAAGTTAGGAGCTGTTACCTTTTAATTGATTTTTGTGATTGTTATTTAAGTAGTATGTGGTTGATTATAAACTGGAACGGTTTTGTTATGCTCACATTTTTCGTGGAAACTGCTTGCAGCAATGCAGTATGCTCTTATCTGAAAGCAATTATTAGCATGTTTGACCCAACATTAGCCCTTGACAAATAGCACCGTTGCTTATCATTATCTTTTTTTTGCATTGATGGAAATTCTTTTCACAGTCGAGAAAAGATTAGGCCAGAAAAGGAGTTACAAAGAGCAAGGAAGCAGATTTTAAAATGTAGACTTGGTATTCGTGATGCCATTCGCCAATTGGATTCTCTTGGTTCATTGAGTAGCATCGAAGATTCTGCCATTGCTCCGGATGGATCTATTTACCATGGAAATGTGAGCAAGTATCAACACTTTGAATACTTCATTGCATTTAAATGTTTCTGTATTCTTTCCATTTTAATACTTGCAACTTGCAAGCCTGCTTCACAATAGCTTATCTTATTTTGCTATTGGAGAGTGATTTATCATGCGTTTTCTGAATTTAAGGCTCAATGTTTTAAAAACTGTATGTATGCTCACTTTTCTGTTTTTTTTCTACATCTAGATATTTTGTGCAAAGTGCAAGATGCATGAAGAACATCCTGATAACGATATTATACTTTGTGATGGTACATGCAAGCGTGCTTTTCATCAAAAATGTCTAGACCCTCCTTTAGACACAGAAAATAGTGAGTTCCCTAATATGCTTTTCAAGTTATGCAATTTGCAACTTCTTGTGTGTTGACCTCATTCAGGAAATGAATTGTTTACGTATAAATTGCAGTTCCTCCTGGAGAGCAGGGCTGGTTTTGTAAATTTTGTGACTGTAAGATGGAAATACTGGAGGCAATGAATGCTCATCTTGGAACTCACTTCTCCTTACATAGTACTTGGCAGGTATTTAAACCAAATAATCTTGTACTCCTTCTATTTTTCTGTTTTCACCCCTCTCTATATATCTTCAATTTAGAATTTTATAACATACAAGCGCATGTATAACATATCAAAACATCTATATATATGAGAATGTTCTCCCTTGATTTTCTCATCAGCTGTTCTCTAAAAAGTATATGCTTTGCTTTAAAGAACCCAAATCCATATAATCCTATTGGTTCAACTAATAATTCCTTTCTGCCATAAATTAAGGATGTATTCAAAGAAGAGGCTGCTATACCTGATGGTGAGACTGCATTATTGAATCCTGAAGAAGAATGGCCATCAGATGATTCTGAAGATGATGATTATGACCCAGAGAGGAAAGAAGACAGCCACTATATCCACACAGAAGGAACTGATGATGGTGTATCTGATGATTTAAGCAGTTCTACAAGTCTGTGTTCTTCTGATGGTGAATGTTATCCAGTAGATGGTTTTAGTCATGAATATTTTTCTGTCAATAGCAGCATAGATTCTGATGAGTCTGAGGAAAAAGCCTGTGGGCGTCGGCAGCGAAAAGCTGTTGACTACAAAAAACTTTATGATGTAAGTATATGAAGTTGTCTTTCAGAAAAGCAAATTGCAGTCCTCAATTTTAATAGCTACAAATAAAGTGGTGGTATGGAAGTTACAAGTTAATGACCCAATTATCTTCAACTTTAAGGCCATGATTTTAACAATCTTCTTACAAACACTGTTGTCTTCCTCACTTGAAAGACTATCTTGATATCTATGTTAATGAATTGGGTTTGTCTCCTTTGTAGGCTTTTAGTGTACTGATTTAAAACATGTATTGCCAAATAGATGAATCACTTACCTTGGATGTGAATCATGTGATGTCAACAAATAATCTTAAAGCATGGAAATACTATTAAAAAGTAGAGTTCCTGATTTTTTTTTCCTATCCTAATCTGAGAATATTTTAGATCATGCAAAAGAAGTTTCACTTGAGTTATCTCTCAGGAAATGTTTGGGAAGGATGCTCCTGCATATGAACAGTTGAGTGAAGATGAAGACTGGGGTCCTGGCAAAAGAAAGCGGAGAGAAAAGGAGTCTGATGCTGTTGATTCTCTTATGACTTTGCACGAAAGTGAGAATAAGCACCCTAATTATGAGCATAACAACATTACAAGAAAAGATTCTTCAAGTGCAAATATCAGAAGGCATTGTTTTAGGATTCCACGTGATGCAGTTGAGGTACTACTAGAAACACTTGGTCATTTTCTCTATAAAAGAGTTGTGTGTTCTTTAATTTATCTCCCTTTCATTTTCTTACGGAATGAGCCAGAAGCTTCGCCAAGTTTTTGCTGAGAATGAACTTCCTCCAAGGTCTACCCGAGAGGGTCTTTCTAAAGAGCTGGGACTTGACACTGAGAAGGTGATGACTTACTTCTTGTCTATCTTCACTTGAATTTGCCTAGGAGTTGTATATGTACCTTGGTCCCATAGTTACTCCAATTACTTTTGGTCTTTTAGCATGTCTAGAAACTCTATCTGTTCAACTTCCAGTTATTAACCTCTGCTAGAAAATGCAGGTCAGCAAATGGTTCAAAAATGCACGTTACTTAGCACTTAAAAACAGAAAGGTAAACCGCATTTTGATCTCTCGTTGTCCAATTTATGCAACTTTATTTTGTCTTCCATTTTCTTGTTTTCATAGAAATTCTCCAACGTGTAGCTCTACGCATCATCTAGTTGTTTATAAAAATGTTTAAATTTAACTTTATGTGCTTGTAAAATTTGAACTCGAACAGGTGTCAATCTTGGACTTGAATAATAACAACAATTTTAAATTGCAATAACTAACATCATTTAATAAGCATTGCCTGATGTTTAAAATAAGACAGATGCCTTGGAATTTATATGATGAAAATTCCTTACCTTTATGAGAGGACAAAATAATCTCTAGTATTTTTGGTAGATAAGACTTCCTTTCTGGGTCAAACAGTCAGAAATTGTCTAGTCCTTGGAATTTGCAATGAACTCTAATTCGAGTGGATTTTGTTCAGCATCAAGCAGCAGAAGGAGCAGCAGATCAGCTTCAAAGTATCACTTCTACTAAGAACTCCAGATTACAAAATCAGGAGAATGCTGATCTTTTGAAACCAAAGACCTTGAAAATTACAATGACACATTCCCAGAAGAATGTTAAAAATGTCACTGGAAGAAAGAAAATAAAATCATCTAGCAAGAAAAGACAACCAGAAATTCCTCCACCGCCAGGAGAAAATGGCAACAAGGTGCTTTTCCTATTAGTGTCACGTTCTGCATGCTTTATGCTTTATGTGCTTGAGTAGTAGTAAAACACCATATGATGATATGAAAGCTAGCAAGGCAAATAACATCCATGTTGTTTGCAGTTTTTATTAATATAATTTGTTGCACTTGTAATTCTTTTGGATTAGGAAGGACCTCAGTTAACTAGTTTTCACTTTTTTTTATCCTTCAGGACTTTATGGAGATCAGTGATGATGTGAGCTTGAAGAAACTGTTGAAGAAAAGAAAGAGGTTGGTAAATTTTAAATTTGAAGGAGACTCTCAGGCGGCAGAGATGGAATTTGAAAGACTAAGCAAATTGAAGATTAAAATAGATAGTATGAAGCAAAAATTAGCTGCAATTCAAAATTACAGAGTAGAGGGTTCAAATGAACCCCCTAATTCTAATGAACCATCCATTGTATATGTACCAACAGCTGTGTTAAGGGAAAAAGGTTGAATGATAACTACACGAAAGAGCAGGGGAACACATGATTTGTAGTTGCTTCCTGTCTCAGCCTGTATTATTGAAAGAAAGCAGATGTTTTGGAGTTCACGTTATTAATCTAATCAATACTTTATCACATCACCTTATACTATCTTCAATGTGAGTGATACTTTCTCCGCATTATTGTTATTCCATAGAAACGGGACATTTCGTTTTGACTTGATCAAATCCTTCATACATAGCAAAAATAATTATAAAACCGTACGGAGCTGGTTTTGACTAACAGACTTGTGCCATTTCGTGTAGTCAATAAGGAATGTAACATGCAACGATGCAAAATAGAACAAGAAATGTTCCACTGACTACTGCTCATGCTTAGCTTCGAATCAAACGAATGGTCATATGGATGCACTCATATGTGGCTCGAGTACTAAGCCTTTTGGATGCATTGTAGAATGCACCATTTAAAGATGGAACTTTGGTAACTAAGGCCACTTAGAACATCTCTAGTGGTGATCTTTTTCTTTGTTTCTTAAGTTACTTCTAATTAGGTTTAATTATGTCACATCATATTTAAAATTTTCATGAACTTTTTACCTCAAATATGAAATCACTTTAAAACTAAATTTTATTTCACATTTTTAATGTCAAGAATAATATAATAATATTTTAATGTCAGGAACTAGTTTTTACATGAAATTTTTTTTCACACTATAATTGTCAAATTGTAATGGTACTTCCGGTCAAGAACTAGTTTTAAAAAGAATCACTTGAGTAAATCCCATTATAATTGTTATTACATCAACTTTTTTTTATGGAAATCTTAGACAAAAAAAAATCAATGATTAACATTATAAATTACATGGACAATGTCACCAAATAATACTTACATATGGAGGTGTTAAATTTTAAATATATCATGTAGATAAGGTTTATAAATAAATCTACATCATTAAAAAAAATTTGATCTTGTGAACTTGGTGTTTTCTAACACACTAACTATCTAACTTTTTAAGAGATAAGAAATGATGACAATAATGAATTACTCCAACATTGTATATTGAAAATGTCGATTGAAGATAAATTGATAATTATAATTTTTCTATTTGAACTGCTTTATCAATTAGACCATAAATAAGAATATATACATATATATATAAAGATTGTTATCTATTTTTAGTGTACACTTTATTTTAGATGATTTTAACCCTTTAAAAAAATATACAAAAATTAACTATTATACATTAAACACGAATATCTATCTTGTATGAGAATATCTTTAAGAAACTTTCTTTAACAAGAGGATTTGTAAAAAATAAAAAATTAGTTTTTATCTAATTCAATTTTCATTTATCATAATTATTTATAAATTAAATATTAATACTTTAAAATAAATTATCAATAAATAAATAATTTTTTGTTATAATACGAATTATTTATTATAAATCTAAAATATAATTTATATGTTTAAAAATATTTATGTATACTAATTTTAATAATTAATTTATATATTCAAATATAATATTTATTTATATATATAATTTATTATAAATTTAATTATATATAATAAACATAAATGATATTATACATGCTAAAATACTAATAATTAACAAAGACTAAAAAAAAATCTTTAATATATTAATTTTTTATTCAAAACTCTTAATCGTCTACTACCTCCATTATCGTATGTGTTGTATTGAAAGGAGGGCACGTGTGCCTTTCACCCACTAGTTACGTAGAACGTATACGATAAAATGGAAACTCCGCTGCAACTTCAGAGACACCAAAATATTTATCGAAATTGAATTTCAGAGACACCAAAATATTTAACGAAATTAAAAAGCTTCAATTCCGTTTGGCAATTAGTTTGAACTTACTTAATCCAGTAAGATTCATTTCAAACGACAATATTTGATTGATCTTTCTAATCATTGTCGTAAATCATACATGAATTGATTTTTCAAATTGTAAAGCCCAGTATGACATTCAATATCAGCTTGAATCCGCCCCCCC